TTTTTTGTCATGAATAGTTTGATTAATGAACAGATTAATTAAAATTTTTAATATTGAGAGATCTGTTGAAAAAAATTATTTAGATTATATTGTTTTATGATAGTTTTTAATTATTTACTAGTTTGATTTTATTTAAATTACTTTGCTTAAAATTGCGATCTTTTAAACCAAAAATTACTTCTCCAAACTTTTATTTCTTTAATAATTATTTATAAATGCTTACATTTCAATTTGAATTAATAATTTTTATCTATTGCAAAAATGCAATAATATGATATGAATTGCTACATTTGCAGCATTATATGATCCCCATTACATATGTAAAAATATAAAAATAATTTTTTTATAAAAATATTGTTAAATATAAAATAAAATTGCACATCACAAGAAAAAATTTATATATATATATAAATGATGTATATTGTATTTGCATGATTAATAATATACCAATAAAATGGTCTATATAACTATAAAAAACATTTTTTATATTGACATTTTTATAAAATTACTGTAAAAAATATCAAAAAGATTGATACAAAAGATATTTAAGGATAAGAAAATATTTAAAAATAAATTTATTTTATATAAATATCATAGAAATAAATTCAAATTCCATCTAAAAAAAAAGAAAAAATTGAACAAAAAAATTATTAATGAAATAAAACATATAAAAAATATGAAATTTATATTAAGTAAAAATATAAATTTTTTTTATGGAAATATCAAGATTTAAAATTTAATCACATGTAACATACACTTTTATAATAATATTTAAAATTGAAATCATCTCATCTTATTTCTAATACTGATATAGTACTACATTCATTTAAAATACATGTGATCTATATTCTAAATTAAATTGGGCATACAATAATTTATGGTATATCATTAAATCTACGCAATATTTTTGTATATTTTTGATATTCTTAAATATAATTTCTTGTTGATTTGCAATACTATATTTTTAATGATAATTTTGTATTAGCTTATTATAATACTATATTCTGGAAAAAAATGTTTTTAAATATAAATGAAAAATTAGTAAAATGCTTTTATAATTTTATTAAATTTTATTTCTCTCTAAGTTATAATTATCAAACATTAATTGCAAAATTGTTCGCATATCATAGTATATAATCTATGTGCTACAAACTGTAAATTTCTAATAATCTTATTTATATATTACACTACATATTTTGTATGTTGACAATTAAAAATTTAAATTGTACGTATTGAATGTGTATATAAAATATTTCAAGTTGTAGAAGTGTCTTTTGATACATTCTAAATAGCCTTTCATTAAATAATAAAATATGTAATTGATTTGAAATTAGAAAATATAATTCATAATAAATAAATTTATTAATTTATAATAAATAATAAAAATGAGAAACTAAAACATTTATATCAAAATGTATTAACTGTATTTAAAATATATAGTAAGCTCTTTTTTGAATAATATTATTATTCTCAATTAAATATTTTTTTTTTGAATTATTTTTTTAAATTAAATATTCTAAAATGATATTTTGTATATGTAATTTTGAACGAAATAAATATTTTATATAACATTTTTTGTTTTACATTATGGAGCTTACTAAATAATGTATACAATAAGTAATTATTTATTGTATACTTTGTGTATTTTATTTCCGTCCCAAAATCATTTAATGCATTAAACCAAAAAATTTTAAATTGTTAAAACACATAGGTTTACGAAAAATACATTTTCAAAAAAAAAAAAATAAGTAAACATTCTGGATTCAAAATATTTTAATGTTGCTGATGAAATAATACTATGATAAATATATTAAATATCAAAACTTTGTAAAAATAAATTGCTAAAGAAATAATATTTATAATTAGAATATCTGTGAAGGGTTCTGTTATACAGTCTTTAGAATTTACAAATGAATAGACACAAATAAAATGAAACAATTTTTAATATTTTCAATTTTAAAAAAGACTTTGCAATATTATTGACTCTTTAAAGATATTCTATATTCACGAATAAGACTATTTTATAGTCTTCAAAATATTTTAAGTTTTTTTAAATCAAGTTTGTGAACGATTTGTACTAATATTCTTATACTTGATGTTTTAATATTCTTCTTCTGTAATTCTTTGCTCGAAATAGTAACAGTAAGAAGAATAATAAATAATTTATTAATATAAATTCTAGAATTATATATAGTTGCAACTTATCTATTTGTCAATAAATTTATTAATGCTACATATTTTATGGCGAATTGTTGCGCTTGTTGCATTATGTTTGAATTTTTAACAATACAAAAATGGATTTATAGTTATTTTATGGAATATAATACAAAATATATTTGATCGTATTTTAAAATGTTAATTCTTAATATAATAGTGTGAAATTAATTTAGCAATTTTATATAACTGATAAATGAGGATTGAATTTATAGAAATAGAAGAAAAAATTAAAAAATCTAGTTTTATATGACACAAGTTTAGATATATTTTAAAATGACAAACAAAGATAAAATTGGTAAAAAAATAATAACATATTTAATGAAAAATATGAATAATATGAAAATGAAAAATATACAAATAAGATTTTTGAATAGTATTTTTTTATCATTTCTTTTTCTTATTAAAAAAATTTTCTTATTAAAAAAAATTAAAAATATGTATTGATGTAAATAATAAACAAAAAAATGATAGTCGTGTTATATTCTTTTTATGTTTTTAAATTTTAGATTTTAAGTGCCTTTATTGTATTTCAATACAAAAGAACTTTTTTGGAGTATTTAATATGCATACTAAGGAATCTAAATATTTGCTCATTAATTTTATTGTTCAGTATTTATGTAAAAATTTCATGTGATGTTTTTGTATTGAAGATAATACTAATAAAAATTTTATAGTAATAAATTTCATGTTCTATATTTTAATTATTTTCTATACTAAAAATATAATTTCTTAATATTTTTTAAAGAATGAAAAAATTATTTTTACTTTATTGATTATTATTAAATGAAAAACTGTAATATGTATAAATTTTTTTAAATATATTTATTAATATATATTATTTATGGTTTATTTCATATAAGTTTATATAAAGATCTGAAAACAATCCATAAAAAGTTGCAATTTATATTTATTTTCAGTGATTAGTGAAAATTTAATTCAATCCATTGAACACTTTGATTTACAATATTAAATGTGATAAGCTAATTACAGATCTTATTTTTTAATTCATATACGCGAACACACACAATTAAATTATATATTAATACATCTTAAATAACATTTGGTATTTACATCACCGAAGAAATGTAAAAAATAAATAAAAAAATTAATCAAATATAAAATGTCCAATGGCTTTCTAAATAATATTAATATTATTTAATTATAGTATTTTAAATTGGTTTTGTTTTTCTTAAAAGAAATATTTTTCTTTGATAAAACATATATCTATTTTTTATATAATATATTTTATCACAAATGAAATTTAAGATGTATAAAATTTATAAAGCTATAAATTTCCAACATTTCTATAATGGATTACAATTGCAATTTTTTTATTTTATTATTTTATCTTATTTTACTTTATATATAAATATTTAATATTATATATATTTATAATGCAAATATATTAATGATTTTACAAATTTTTAAATAATAAATTTTATTTTTTGTGTATGCTTGGTATATGTCATTATATAATATATCATTTGTATTTTTGACGAAAATATTATATTTTTATATAAAATATATAATAAAATCAATTAATTGTTTATTTTGTTGAAATTTATTTTCAACAAAATAAAAATTTTCAAAAATTTTCATATATAATTTAAATTTTTATAAATGTGAATTTGAAAAAAAAGAAAATAGAATTAATTAATTAATAAAATTAAAATTTGTAATCTGTTTTTTGTAATTTTCTATCATACAATTAATATTACACAAAAGAATAATATTAAAATATTTTCGTCAATATTTCAATACATTTATTTTACATTGAAAATGAATATATTATCTTTGGTATTTTTATAAATATAAAGAATTTTATATTAATAATAAAATAGATATTTCAAATAACAAAATATGTATCAAATAAATATTTGATACATATTTTAAGTAATATTTTTAAATAATAATTAACACAATATTATACAGAGATAATATTTATAGCAATTTAACAATAATATTTTTTATCAATACATTTAAATATTAAAAAATTCTTCATACAATGAAATGTTATATTATTTAATGAAAGCTACATAATATATTTTCGTGTAAATAAAAATATAATTGCAAATTGTGAGATATATAAGAGAAAATATTTCTATATAAAAGTAATAAATTATATATAATAAACAAATAAGTGATTACTTAAATTTTTAATGATAAATCTAGAAAAACTTATAGACAAATATTCTCTTTTATTTTAATTTTCAAAATCATGTCAAATTTGTATAATTTTTTGTATTATAATTTAATTAATAATAGAAGCCTGATATCTTTGTTCTTCATGTAAAGATACATAGCATAAAAATAATTTAATATTTATATACTCAGTATATAATTTTGATATGAAAATTCTTTATCATCTGTATAGGCAGTAAGTTGTGCAGTATTAATATCAGTATTATACTATTTAATGTGTTGATTTTGAGCATATAAAAAATCATTTTTGTAAAAATATTCATAATAATACTAAAATGTAATGTAAATATCTTGTAAAAACCAAGTATATGATTGCACAAACACAGTTTGTAATATTTCAAATATTAATTAAGGAAATGAATATATAAATGAAAAACTTCATAGTTTTTTTTTTCAAATAATAATTCATTAAATATTATTTCATTAAATATTATTAACGATAAAATATTGAATGTAATGCATATTGAAATGCATATTATAATACAATGTATTAAGATTAACAACGATACAATATATTTGTAGTATCTTAGTTTGTTATCTTAATGCTTGCATAATACATCAATTGTGAAATATATATTTAGCATTTAAAAACATTTTCCATATAAGAAAAATGAACACATGATTTATACTGATTATTCTTAGTCAGGAGATTTCAATAAAATAGTTACGGATATGTTTGTAAAAAAACATCATTGCAATTGATTGTCCATTGCAAATTCTTCTAATGCAGTTTATCATTTATAAATATATGATTATTTCAATTATGAATTATATTATTCACAAGCTAATTTACTATCAAAGCTGCTTAAAGCAATAGCGAATGCTTGAAGTGTACATAATGGAAACCTGTAGTCCATTGTAAAAACATCCTCTGCAACACGGCCGAATTGCATAACAACATAATCAACTAAAACACAAAGAAAATTATAAAATAATTTTCGAAATTTGATATTTTACTTTTATGAAAAAGTATTCTAAATCACTACTTTTAAATCATATGTTAATGCATAATAAAAAGAAATTATTAAATAAAGAATTTAAATTCTATATAAGTTTTTTCATATTTTAACTAATTATAAATATTACTACTGTTTAAGCTTTAAAATCTCTTAAAAAATGACAGAAATTGAATTTTATTATTCAAATTATATAATTTAATTATATAATTTTGCATTTTTTAATTTTTTTATTAGTTAAAATAAGATAATCTTTAAATGTGAATTTTAATTTTATAAAAAATATATTAAAAAAAAATTATAAAATATATTATAATAATTTTTAAATTGCATTTTAATTCATTAAAAACATATTATTATATTTATTATTATTATATTTTATGAAAAGAATATAAATACTTAAAAAACTAAATATTTTTTTAACTAAAAAATATAAAATACAAACCATCACTATCATGTACCACTTGAAAATTTTTCACAGAAGCTTGTGTCACGCGTCCATGAAAATTAAGTACATATGACTGCGTATCGTCGTTCCATACAGGAGTTTTATTATGTAATTCTATTAAATTATCCATATTTTTTGTTTTCCATCGTTCTGTGAAAAAAAAATACAAATATAGTTTTAATAATATTTATATTGAAATAATAGTTTAAAAATACCAAGTAATGTTTCAGATTCATCTCGTGGACAAATTTCAACTCTTTTTTGATCCGATGTCATTCCCGGAATAATGACAGTCATTTTACGTGGTCCTTTAAATCCTAAAACATTAGTATCGTATATCACTGCAGCTAACTCTTGTCTCGGATTAAAACGATCGTCTCTTTTATCATCTTTCATTAATGAATATCCATTATCATATACAGTAAATTGTGTTCCCAGAAGATTCGATCTTAATTTTCCAATATAAGATTCGCCTGCTCTTGAAAGATCCGTAGGATCAGTAGAAATTAAATAGTTACTTGTTGTACTTTTTTTTCTTTTACGTCCAGCCAATAAAAAAATCTATAAATAAAAGACAGAATATTATTTCCACTTTATTTATACTAGACTTTCTTTATGAAATTATATACCTTTTTTCCATAATCACGTTCTAAATGTAAAAAATAGGTTGGATAAAGGCCACGATCCATACCTTTTCTATCCCGCGTTATTCTACATTTATAATGCATTTTTTTATTTGCTGGTTGTAATACAAAATGTTCTATATTTCCTTCCACATTTCCTTCTAATTCTGGACTCTAAATAAATATATATTTCAATTTTTTTAAAATATTAATTGTTAATTTATTTAAATTTACTAAATATAATTTATCGAAAATTATTTTTTAAATTTCTATCATTTAAGTTACTGTCAAATATTTGTATTTTTAAAACAAATTTTAAAAATTTATTACTATATTAATACTAAATTATATTATTATTAAATTATTTTGTTTATTTAATTATTTTTTTCAAAGAAAAACTTACTGAAGAATTGTTTTCTCTACTAATAAGTGTACTAGAACCATCTGAAGGAGCTACTCTAAGAGGTGAAGGACATGGTAAAGATTCCGAAGGTGAATGAATATCTATAGGTGATGATTCTTCATCTGCACAATCAGCAGCTTCCATAGCTTGGTAAAAGTTTCCTTCTGTGCTAACTTCTATAACAAAAATGCAATATTTTTATAATAATAATGCTTTATAATTTTAATACATAAAATTAAGCAATTAATTAGTATATTAATTAACCATTAATTCTTGCTTCTACATCCTTATTCTCTATAAATGTATTTAAATCTGTATTTGTTTGTGATATATTAAACTGTAATGGTCCATCATATCCTAAAACAAATATAATTTTTTTATATATATTTTCAATCTATATAATTTTTTTCAATTATTAAACATACCTCGAAGCTCTTTATGTGGATTCATCCATTTTGTAGAATGACTTGTAAGTTGAGTGTTCGATATATTAGATGCTTGTACCATTCCACCAGCACCACTTTGTCGTTTTTGTTTCATTTTTTGTGCAATTAATTGTCTCTATAATTGATTTAAAAAAATTAATTTTAAGTACAACATAAAGCAATTTAAGCTTCAATATAATTTTATATATATTATTGTATTTTTTAAAAAATGTTAAATATATTAAAAAAATTAAATATATTATTTTTTCAACTTTATATTATTATTTCAACTTTAATGTAAGATAAAATTTTTTAATTTTTTTAAATAACATTACTCTTTAAAATTTATATTCTAAAATTTATATTAAATTTTTTTAAATCTATATTTATATGATACAATAATGTATAAAAAATTACTTTTATATAAAAAATACATTTTCCAATGAAAAAAATATTTTTTTATAACTATATAATATAATTGCTAATATAATTATTTGCAAATATTTATAAATATTTAAATGACCTACTTATTTTTCTATATATATACATACATATAATTATAATTTAATTTCAAATTCTAATAAAAAGATTATAAAATTATTTGTTATTCAAGAAACAATATATAATTTAATAATATTTTTTTTTAAATATATAAATATAAAATACGTAACTGCAATTTAAATTTTAAAATTATTATACAAAATCATTTAAAGTTATTATGCATATACCTGTTGTTCGAGTTTCTGTTGTCTTAAATCTAGAGATGTCATATTGCCGATATGTACTATGACATGCAATTGATTTCCAGAAAATAATCCAAATCTCCTCAAAAAATTAATTTGTTTACGCTAAACATATTTTGTCGCCCATAGCTACCTAAGTAACTATAAAATAAAAAACCCTAACGTATTTTTAAAGAGAAATCGTTATAAAATAACTATAAAATGAAAATTTTGTAGTACTAAAATTTAAAAAAAATTTATTCTAAATTTATGTATTAATAACATTTATATTGAAAATAGATAAAATAGTAAATGAAAAAATGAAGTATTTTAAAAATAAATAAAATTTTGATCTAAAAAATCTAACATTGTTCAAAAAATTTAATATTTTTTTTCATTTCTTTTTATTCTTTTTTTTTGAATAAATAATATAAAAATAATTTCTAGAGAAGTACATATAAAATAATTATTAATTCAATTTGAGTAATTAATATATTAATAAAATTACATATTTTATTATAATATATTAATATATTTATGAGATTTAAAAAAATTATTAATTAAATTTTTATTAAATTCTTGTGACTTATTATTATAACTAAAATAAATTTCACTTGAAAATTATTGAAATTTTATTGAATTAAACATTAAATATTTTTAATAATATTATTAAATATATTATTAGAAGCATCACATATTAATATTATCAATGAAATTATAGAAAATTTAAAATTAGTATCAATAATTTATTATGTTCTCAATTTATTTTAAATTCAAGCATTATATTAAAATTGCTAATATAATAGTTTTTGCTAGTATTGTAGCTATGATGTAAGTTTATAATTTGTCTTCACATTGTAATAAAAGGAAAAATAGAATGTAATTATTATTTTTCTAAAGAAATTGGTCTATTTATTATCTTTTTATATAAATATTATAAGTGTAGTAAATTAAAATAATATACAAATATTCAAAATAATAAATAAGTATATAAAATTTGGAAAGATTTAAGGTTATAATACTGACATATCAATGAAATATAATAATGATAATTTAGATAAAAAAAATTGAATTAGTTATAATAGTAAATTAGATTACAAAACAATATTATAATTTAATTATTAAGTATTTTAGTATTAAAAGCTAATAATATCATATACAAGTATATAACAGTAATAGTGTAATATTAATATTTCAAAATTATATTTTATCATTATATTAAAAATTGAAATAAAAAGATGCAAAATAAAATTTTTCAAATTGCATGATTTTATTTCTATTAAGCAATTGGTATAAATAAAAAAAAAATTAATAAAAATATAAAAGACATTAATATATGGCTATTAAAATTATGGCTAGATAAAATAATGCTATATTAAACTATAATTGTTTTATTGTATTCTTATTTATATGATTTCATTTCTTGAAATAAATATTTCATAAAATCACAAGATGAGAATTCAAAACTGATATTTTTTAATAATTTTATATATATAGATTAATTATATAGGAATAAATTTGAATTTGTCAAATTTGTTTTTTCCATGATTTTTATAATTTATTATAAATTATAATTTCTACAATTTATTTGTTATATATTCAGTTATTTTTTTCAGATATATTTAATAATAAATATATATAATAATAATAAAATATATATAATATATTTAAAATAATATATTATAAAATAATTAGACTTGTATTTAAAATAATTGTGCTTACATATAAAATAAACTACATATTATCAATTGAAAATTACAATGATTTTTGTATTTTAATTGATTTGATTATTCACAAATACATATTACAAATACATATACAATAAAATTTATATAATATTAAATAAATATTTTATTTAAAAAATTATTGGTGCACATAAATATCATAATAAAATTTGAGATATTTAATAAAAATTCAATTTACAACTTATTTAAGTTATGTATAACATTTATTAACATTTACATATGTTATTATTTTATATATGCAATATAGATTTTATCGGTT